ACGTCAGACAGTCACACGGATTTTTCCGGCATATGGGTACGCCGGCCGGGTTAACTCATCACTCGCGGAATAATGTATACTTAACCAGTTGCAGTCTTTGGCTTTAACAAAGACATGTCATTTTACTTTCTTTTTTTTTCCCACTTTCTTGGGACTGGGATCCTTGGGAGAGTAGGGTGGTAAGCTCCACGAGTGTGCGGAGGTCTGAGGGGTTGACTGGGCGTCACACTCAAGTGTCCGACAACTGGGTAAGAAGAGATAGGCCAGTGTGTGATGCTGTTGCCACTTTGTGGCCTGGTTTCCTCAATGTCCTGGCACAAACGATTTTCGACGTCGCTGTATGAGGGAAGACATTGTGCGGTCTTGTAGCGGATAGGCCTTGCCGAACACGTATGGGCAATTATCCCACCAGCATCTCACGCTCACGAGTATTCTGTTCCTTTCAGCTGCGTATCAGAGACACGGTCGGGGTTCAACCAAGGGCTGGCTATTCCCAGTGATCCCCTTTCACGACAAGCTTGAGTTCTTGCAGCGAGTTTTTCACTATGAGTATCGTCCACTGCGTTGAGTAAGTCGTGTTCATCTCGTTGTGGACTTTGTCCGTTAATCTACTGTTAATCTGCTGTTAACTACGGTCTTCTCCAGAGTAGAACGTACCGTCATTATAGCTGTATTGGGGGCAACTTTCAGTCTAGATACAGCAATAATGACCGTTTGTTCTATTCGGGTGAGGCTCACCCGAGATGAGAAGGCTGGTGGTTGTTGAGCAAGCTCAGTTGGATGTGAGGATGATTTGGAATCAACAACAATTCCTTGGGCTCCACAACCCAGAGGTCACAGCGATGGGCCTCGCTCCCCTACTCTGCTGCATTTGACACGTATCTGGATTGTTCTATGCACCAGATGCAATCGGACTGGTTCAACATTTTTGAATGCATAAGCACCATTTCCATATCCAGATGCATTTCGAATGTTGCATCGTCGAGTGAGGCCTGATATTGAGGCTGTGCAGTAAGTACACAGTCAAAGTGAACTCTGCCGTTAACATTGGTGTGCCGTTGCGCCCTGCCTCGGACTTTCCAGACCCTTTCCCACCACAGGCTCTAGCCATGGTGGGCGAGCAGTGGTACAGGGGAGGGACCCCTAGGCAGGATCAAATGCTCAGTATAAATGTCTGTTGGGTTGATCATCAAGGAACAGTTTTGGACTCAAGGGACTGAAAGAGGGCTGGAGAGAGAGAAACAAAAAAAAGATTTTGCAATTTGAGCAATGCCCAGCCAGTACATGCAGAAGTGAATAGACAAAGTTTCTTCAATAATGTAGAACCACGAGGGAGAGGCGAGCAATCTGGCGGCCCGATCAGGGCTGAAGAGGTGATTCTGCAGTACTGATGCCAAACATCTTCAATCGTGTTTTATGAACTTTTATCCCATTACTGTTAATCCCCTAATGGTAAGGGTAATCAATGCTGGAAGGTCAACACAGTATGTTCAGACTCTTGATGTATACTGGGATGCTGGACTAGTTTTCCAGCAGGTGCAGCTCCCCACCAATAGATTGGAGCAACCAGGATGTTTAAAAAAAAAAAAAAAAAACGTCGTTAAAACTTGAAAATTAAAATTGTTAAATCACATTACGGTACTAGGAAAATAGGAGCACTTTGAAGTTATTCGAGTTTGTGGGATTTGAAAAGAAGGTATGGCAAGGTGTAAGTGCCATGGGCATGCAGTCAATTCTGAAAGGATCTCTTTTGCACTTTTCCTTTGACCTGTGTTGTTTGCCAGGTATCATTATCTCCCTCCGTTGGCTATGGCACTTCTGCTCTTCATTGTTGGAGGATGGCCGTATGTTGGCTGGGGTTTTGTTGTCAGCACCGTACTCTGCTGGCATGCCACGTAAGTCCTCTCATCTGACCATTGCCAGGCCCACCACACTTACCTGCAGTAGTGGTAGTAGTCGTGGTAGTAGTAGTGGTAGTAGTAGTGGTTGTTGTGGCGGTAGTCGTAGTAATGGTAGTGGTAGTGGTAGTGATAGTGGTAGTAGTCGTAGTGGTAGTGGTAGTAGTAGTAGCCGTAGCGGTAGTAGTAGTAGCGGTGGTGGTGGTAGTAGTAGCGGGGGTGGTAGTTGTAGTAGCGGTGGTGGTATACTAGTAACGGTAGTGGTAGCAGTAGTAGCGGTAGTGGTAGCAGTAGTAGTAGTAGTAGTGGTAATAGTAGCAGTAGTGGTAGTAGTAGTAGCGGTAGTGGTAGTAGTAGTAGCGGTAGTGGCAGTATTGGTGGTAGTAGTAGTAGTAGTAGTAGTAGTAGTAGTAGTAGTAGTAGTAGTAGCTGTAGTAGCAGTAGTAGCAGAAGTAGCAGCAGCAGTAGCAGTAGCAGCAGCAGCACTAGTAGCAGTAGTAGTAACAGTAGTAGCAGTAGTAGCAGCAGCAGCAGTAGCAGCAGCAGGAGAGGTTGTAGCAGCAGCAGCAGCGGCAGCGGCGGCGGCGGCGGCAGCAGCAGCAGTGGGTGGGAATAGTGGTGGTGGTGGTGGTGGTGGTAGTAGTAGTGGTGGTGGTGATGGTGGTAATAGCAGTGGTGGTGGCAGTAGTAGTAGCAGTAGTAGTAGTAGCAGTAGTGGTGGTGGCAGTAGTAGTAGTAGTGGTAGTGGTGGTGCTGGTAGTAGTGGCGGCGCTGGTGGTAGTGGTGGTGTGTGGCATACTCCGCACCAGACGGGCCTGCAGGGCCTGACCAGGCGGAACAAGGGATGAGTAAGGGCCCTCCAGGCCCTGTGTCGTTTCAGCCTAAAAATGAGGGCCAATGCTAGGCCCTCTTAAAGTCGGCCTTTCCTGAAACTTAGGCGCCAGACCAGGGATAAGCGCAGGCCATTTTTAGGCTCGTTTCAAGACAACCTTTTTTTGAACTTAGGCGCCAGGGGTTGGCACGATTCGACATTGACAAGAGCAGCCTCCCAGGCGGACCAGCGCTATATAGTGCTGGTCAGCCCGGGAGGGGACAGGCAGTTCAGGAGGCAGTCTTCGGACATTCGGCAGCAGCACTCCTGGGAGCGCTGCAGTAGTAGTAGAGTACGATAGGAGTAGTCTTCAGCGCTGGGCACTGCTAGGACCTTAGAGTAGCGTGGAGAGGGAGGAGAGTGGCAGAGGCCAGGGAGACTTACCTGGGAGCTTACCTGTGACGCCATCGCTCCAGCTTCATCTTCGATGTAACTGCAACAAGGCACCACCTTTCACAGGTTAGTACCTGGCACTGAGAGAGAGAGAGAGAGTTCTTCTTCTTCTTCCTCCTCCAGTCCACCATCTCTCCCTCACCCTCTTGCTACCTGACTTCTCGGTATCTGGCAGACTACAAGGGAGAAAGAGAGATAGAGATTTGTGACTTCGAGATTTGATGACATTTGGATTCCGACTCGACATTGGGACAGCGACACTGGATGGGGGGATTATTTGGGATCTATATCGAAGACTTGGTGTTGACGACATCCTCATCCTTCCCTTCCTCTTCGTCTGATCCCCCTCCTTTTCGGCTGTGTATGATCTGAGCCTGGCGCATTCCTCCTGTGTGTAGCACCAGGCCCCTTCACACCATGCGATGCTGATGATGTATGTTTGGTCTGCATTGCAACATTGATTGGTCTGATCATTGGCATTTTAGCCTTCCGCTGCGCTATCCTGTACTATGTGAGAGAGGTCGGTTCTTGTTCTGGTCTGCACCATTACGGTATGCAACAGTTTGGTATCGGAGCAGACCTCTCAATCAGAGGATCCGCCCAATCAAGGAGCCAGCTTGCTTGATTCAATTGATTGATTGATTGATTGATTGATTGATTGATTGATTGATTGATTGATTGATTGTTTATTAGTTAATAAAGTAGGGCTTCGTCAAATCTCTGCAAGGAAAAAAAAGAAATTCGCAACAGATCTCCGGAACTTCGGATATTAGCATTTCGTTTTTTGTTTCACTCTGGGCATATTAAGTGAACTAGGGAGGTTGTCATATTCTCGGAAACTGGATCTATTCTTCTCTGAAAGTGGAACCTCCATTTTTTTTATTTTTTTTTAAACAGAACCTGTCGGTTCTGGCTCCTCCCATTCTGGGGAGCAACAGTCCGGTTCCTAGTGGAACCTCCATTCTATTTCGTGCAAAAGAAAAATTCAAGATCCTCCATCCTATTTCGCACACAAGAAAAATTTCAAGATCACATTTTTTTTGAAAGCCGAAACTTTGCGAAACCTTGCCTAGTACTACTCCAAAAAAACGCCTCACTAATAGCCGATCGACAGAAATTCACAAAAAAAAGAAAAAAAGGGGGGGGGATCCTCTTCTTTTATTTTTTTTTATCTTTATTTTGTTCTGTTGATTAGGACTGGGAATGGAAAGTGCAGTTTGGTTACCTTCCTGCGTTTCCCTCCCACCCAGCCCTTTGCCTGCATCCCGGTTTGGTAAGCGCCACGTCAGTAGCTGTGCCACGACAGCAGCAGCGCTACGTCAGCAGTGCCATGACAGGAGCAGTGTCACGTCAGCAGTACAAGATCGAGGCTGAGGAACAGCGCCAGGCGGCAGCCGAGGCTGCCCGCCTACAGGCTGAAGCGGAGGCAGCGGCTGAAAAGCAGCGGCTTCAGGCCACAGCTGAAGCAGATGCCGAGGCCCACCGCATGCAGGCCTTAGATCTGCTGCAGCGGCACGAAGCCACCAGCGTCGAAAGGCTCAAGTTCTGGCATTTTGAACCATCTGAGGGCCGCGACGACGCGACACCGGAAGAGCAGCACAAGGAGTTTCTCTCCAAACTCGTGACCCGGTTGGTTTATACTTGTAACCACCTGCAGTCCGAGTTGGAGAAACAGCACCAGGAACTGGAGAACCTCCGATAGGCAGTGCGGAACCACAAGGATCTGCACGAGGATGCTACACGGGCACTTCATACCCGTGTATAGGACTTGGAGCAAGCAGCACCAAGACCAGATGCTGGCGAACCCAGCAATGCAGCCTCAACCCGCCAGTTGGAGCAACGACTCGACCATGTACTAGCGATGCTCGRCRRCATCAGCACCTTCGCCGCACCAGCCTTCATGAGCGAGCAGCTCGACACCTTGAAGAACGAGGTTCGACAACTACACTAGCCGCCCGACAACGATGGCAGCACCGGTGCATCGCGGCAGTACAAGATACCGACATTCCGAATCGAAAAGTTTGATGACTGTACGCATCAGGACCCGGTCACCTGGTGGCAATCCTTTACAACGGAGACTCGGATTCATCAGGTCCCCGATCACTTGTACATCTTTGCGTTGTTCCTCAACGCAAAGGGTGGATGCCAGATCTGTCTCAACCACATGGCAACCATACACGGCGTCCAGGTCGCCGACCTGCACAAAAGATCTCTTGGGAAGATTTGACGAAGGAATGGAAGAAGCGGTTCATTGTTGACGACGCCCCGATGCTCGCCATCAACCGCCTCTTCGCCTTGACTCAAGGCAACACACCGACACGCGACTGGCTCACGGAATGGCAAAAGATCATGGCAACATCCGATCTCGACTTGCCATTTTCGCATCTGTGTCGGGAGTTCTACAACCGGTCGTGTGCCGCCTTGAGCCTCGCACTCGGTGATCGCGAACAATACACGACCTTCGCCAAAATCATTGACAAGGCTCGTGAGATCATCAAGACCAACTAGGCTGCTGCACACGAGAAATCCGCATCGCAACCAACCTATGTGGAGAAAGGAAAATTTGGTCCTCGTCCGCAGCCAGTCGCTGCAGTCCAACCGGACAACCTTGTGGAAGACCCGACAACCACCCCAGCATCACGTGAGGGAGATCAGGTGGTCGTCGTCCAGCCACAAAGCAACAACAACTCCCGTGGAAAAGGGAAGGCGAAAACAGCATCGCCGACCGGAAATGGACAGCCAGTACCATGGGTCAAGTTTAGCTTGACCGAGGCCGAATACAAGTACCGCAGCCGATACGGCTGCTGCTATTGGTGCAACAGCACCAAACACAAGACCTCCCAATGCCAAGATCAAGGCAATGAGGATGTTTGACCTCGAATCAGCTCGGGAAACTGAGCCGCGAGGGAGGTGAGGCGACTCCACCTCTCACTCCGCCAGATTCGGACCCCTTGCTAGCGGCCTCCTACACATCTGGGGAGAATGCAGTTGTCGCAAGTCCTCGGTTTGCTTACGAGGATTACGCTGTCCACTTGGTCCCATCGTTGGACCAGCCACTCCACGTGCAAGACTCCACCGCTTGCACGGTTTCATCACAATCGGCAACCGATTCGACAACTTCGCCGCCAACTTTCACCAGGGATTCGACGGCATGGTCAAGACTTGAGAAACTCGACCCGTTGACGTTCGCAGACTTCCAATGGATGCCTCTTCCGCCGACCGGTCGATTGTCAAAACTGCATTGCAACGCCCTCATAATCATGCAATCTTCACGACGGTTAGGGAGAAGGGGACGGCGGCAGGGAGGGCGTCGAGGAGGAGCGCCGTGGGGGAGCGCTGTAACATGAAGGTATCAGCGCTCCCCCTCGTCGTGGGAGGGCGGGGGGGGTGTCTCCGCATGTCTGTGAATGTGTGTTCGGGCATATATCTATGATACACAGATATGCTCACACCGCTTGCACGGTTTCATCACAATCGGCAACCGATTCGGCAACTTCGCCGCCAACTTTCACCAGGGATTCGACGGCATGGTCATGACTTGAGAAACTCGACCCGTTGACGTTCGCAGACTTCCAATGGATGCCTCTTCCCCCGACCGGTCGATTGTCAAAACTGCATTGCAACGCGCTAAGGGCACAATTGCGGAATTACTTGCACACTGCAGTACCAGCTCCGTTGATGGACGCCGGAGTAGGGGTTGGTGACCTTCGCGACTACCTTGCGAAGATCGACC